TGGCTGCCTTTGAAGGAGTATTCACTACTGTTCTCTTTATGACATTGCTGTAAACTAGGAAAAAAAACCTGGAGGTTAAGGGAAGGTCACATGGGAGGTGCTGCTCTGTTGTTTCTTGTCACTGCTCCAAATCCATCAGCAATGATGCATGGCATTGCCCCGGTGCAAATTGAGTGGTCCAATGCAATCCCCCAAAGCCTAGAAATGAAAACCAAATGCTGGACACATTACAGCTCTTCTCAGCTGTCTGTTTGCTGAACCTGTTCAGTAAATTACTTGAGCCTGTAAAAGCTATTTAGCATATTCCACTGGACACTGCGACAACATTTAAAGAGACTGATGGGTCATACTTTGAATTTAAGGTATATTTATCAGCCATTCTTTAATTGGGAATAATGTATTGTTAATTGCTATTGATCCAGATATGCTCTGAGACAGGATAAAGGTGTGCATAGACTTTTGTGAAGTTAGATCACGTAAAAAAGGTGTACCTAATCTAACTCCGTTCACCTACGTACGTACATTACGCTTAGATCTAATAGTTGATCTAAGTGCCAAACTGTACAGACATTCCCCAAAGGTTAAATCGGTCGAAAAATGGCCAGCCCAGTCTAACTTGGTTCCCCTAAGAGGAGCACTGTTAGATTGGGCACGGTTAGACCAATCTAACTGAAAGTCTGTATACATTCAGAGGACAGCCCTGGGGCTGATTCCTTCCCCTAGCCCCTGCCTCCTACAGTGCTGATCTTACCAGTGTTTACTGGTGCCCAATCAAAGTAAGTTGGGGCAGGGGGGAGGAGCAAGACAGGTTGGGGGACAGGGGTTGGTCTGCAGGGAAGGTTGTTTGTCGGGGAATGGGGGGGGTTGGCAGGATTGGTGGGCCTCCCCTCCCCTCCCTCCAGTTGGTAGCTATTTTTAGCTCCCTGGCCCCCTGATCTACCCCTCCCTCCTGCCATCCTGATTTACTTAAGTCAGGCTCCCATCACTGGAGAACCCCTGTGAAACTGACACTGGGAACAGTTTGTATGCAAGATTGCAGGGGTGGGGGTTAGGGATGTCTTGGGGGAGGTGGGGGATGGCAGTATCAGAGCAGTCTTCTGATCCTGCCAACCTTCACCCCCCCT